AAATATTAAAAGGAAATAAAGCGAAATATGATTTTTTGGCTTAAATAATGTGCCTGAAGTCGTTCGGTTAGTGTCAAAAAAAGTGGCAGTCAAGGTGATCAAATTTAAGGAACATTCAAAGCGATCATTAATATTCAACCATACAAAATAAGCAAATTCTTGAGAGCACCTATCTTCCTCAGATATATTGAAACATATGTAACGTCAAATATATTATGGTTTCATTTTCAGTCAAAACATCTATATTATAATAACAAACAATACAATAATAAACATAATAACAACAATACAATACAATAACAAACAAAACATCAACGGTATCGAAGCACCTAAAGTACTCAAAACGTTGTGCTGCAATTTATTCTATTTATATTTATTATAAAAATATATATTATAATCTTCATATTAAATTATTTTTATGTAAAGCAAAATATTATTTCGCCTACGCCAAGAATAGAAATAATTCTTATATGACGGCATTGACATGTTTTGTTTCAAGTTTCCGGCAATGCATATAATTTAGTCATTGGATAAAATATCTAGTAGTTCTATGGAATGTCAGGTTTGACATATATACGATACGTACTATTCCTAAGTATTGTATGTAATATCTAGATAATGTATAAAATGCCATGAGGAGATCAGGTAAAGTATAAAATGTGAACAAATAAAACATATTTTCTTTAATGAAAATCAACTTTACTAAGAACTACAGTCAAATTTGAGTAAAATTGTTTATAAAGGTGATAATGATGAAGGAATTATAAACAAATAGTTTAATTAAATTTCAATCAAGTAAAACTTTAGAATCCTTTGTCTGGAGGAGGGGAAGGAAAGTGAGATAGAAGGGAAAAGGGAGTGTCTTCTACACCCCAACGCCACTCCCATAAAAAGGTAAACCACCTTTCTAGCAAAAAATTAAAAAGAATATCCCCGAGACCTATCCTCAAAATGATAACATTTATCTCTCTTCTACAGGACGGGTGGAGGGGGAGGGGGGAGTGGAGTGTCTCCTATCACAACTTCTAACCTAACTCAACTGAAAAGATTTGTGGGTGCTCAAGTATTTCTGGCGGTAAAAAATAGGTAGGTTAGGTTAGGTTTAGTCATGTCTAGACTAGGGACGTCATTTTCATAAATTAGTATCATAAGACTAATCGTGAACTCCACTCTCGTTATTCCGTTACCTCTTATTCAGTAAATATCCGGTTAAATATTCGGTATTGTATAGATTGCTTAGTTAAAGTATGAAATACATAATTTTTTTTAAATTTATTTAGGACAACCAACAAGACGTACATGAACACAATGTAAATACTACAAATTACAGGAAGGTTTATATCTAAGTGTCGTCTTAATAAAAGGTTGCCACAGCATGCAATGTGGACAACGAATATGTTTTTTAAAACTTACAACTATAAACTTAAAACTGTTAGTTAAAAGTTTTTGAGGCTTATCAGCAAAAATATCAACATCACATGTCTTGCAGAGCTGGTTATATTGCCTTTGGAACCTGTTTATGGTGGCGTGGTGACCCAAATTAGTTTTACTGCATTCTACTGAAAAGGGGACGTATCGGCTGATACGCACTAGCTTAAAAGGTACCTTGAAATTTATTGTACTTAGTAGGTATGGACAGTCTACGGTTCCATTGACGATTTTGTGTAGCAACATGAAATCCAGCAAAAGCCTCCGCTGTTGCAAGCTACTTAATTTAAAATACGTCAGTCGGTCTTCATATGAGGGTAGATCCTTTATTTTGTAAGTTTGGTACGAAAGATACCACAAAAAACACTTCTGGATATGTATTCCGATGTATCTGTCTTTCACTGGATACGCTTTATGCGTTTCACGTAAATGTCATAAAATGGAGACCAGATCTGACTACAGTATTCGAGGCTGGAACGGACTAAAGAGTTATACAAGGATATTTTTGTAGAGGTCCTCTTAAATGCTTTAGAATTACGCAACACGAACCCCAACATTTGAAGACCCCTTGTAACAATTCCATCAACGTGCTTATGAAACCGCAACTTTTGTCGAGAAACACACCCAGATCCCGAACAGAGTCCACTTCTACCAAAGGATGACCATCAATATTATACATAGGTGTCGGAACATTTACACATCTTGAGAAATTTATAATTTTACATTTATCGAGGTTCAAAAATAGTCTTGGGTTCAAAAATGTTCTTAACACACCACAAAGAAATCCGGTCCAAATCCTCTTGCAATAGGAGTGAGTCACTGTGGTCTTTGATTTTCAAGGACAATTTCATGTCATGGATGCAGGTCAGGGTCAGGTGCAGGATGCAGGTCGCGTGTTTAAAAACAGACGCTAGGTCATTTATGAAAATATTGAACAGGATTGGACCTAGATGGGAACCCTGAGGAATGCCAGACGTAGGTAGAAATGGTTCTGAGGAGTAACTATTTACCACAACTCTCGATTTTCTCTGCCTGAGGTATGCAGAGAACCACTCGAGAAGATGTGCCAGTGATGCCCAAAATTGAGAGTTTGTGAAGTAAGATGTTATGATCTACAATGTCAAACACCTTGCTGAAGTCTGTGTAGATGGTGTCCACAGACAAGCGGGAATCGAGAGACTTGGAGACATAGTCCACAAACGAAACGAGATTTGTAGCTGTAGAGCGAGATGTTAAAAAGCCCGATTGTTGGCGTGAGATTATTTGCTTTATGTGCCAAGCCAAAACAGGACAAACTAATGATTCAAAAACTTTAGCGAAGAAAGACAATATAGATATGGGTCCGTAATTTCTGACGGATCCTGCGTCTCCTGATTTATAAATTGGGACAATACGTGCCTGTTTCCAGACCGAAGGGAAAGTACCCGTTTTTAAAGACATATTAAAAATAGTTCTCAAAGGCAAGGATAACGCTTCGCGGCAGTTAATTTCAAACAAAGGGGGTATGTCGTCGGATCCAGCTCCCTTGGTTCGATCTAGACCAGTAAGAGGTTTGAGTACTTGATCTTGTGAGAAGTACAGATTAGCAAGATAATTTGAGGTACAAATTTGGTCACCAGTGGGTCACAGACAGTACTAAGCTAGTCTTATACACCGTTGCTGTTGGATGTAGCGTAAGCATTGCTATTACGTTTGTTATTTTTTATGAACGTCCAGAATAACTTTGGATTTTTGGAAAGTGCTCCCTCCAGATCCGCGACATAGTTTTTATGACAGGTGCCTATTAATTCGGCACATCTTTTGCTAAGTGTTTGTAATGCAAGTTCGTCCAGTGGATTTTTGTATTTACGGTACCTCAAACGAAGGTTGTTTTTTTCCTTGAGGAGATGTATGAGTTCCTTTGTGTACCATACTGGAAACTTTTTTGTGGAGGGTTCACATTTTCGAACGTACTTAGTAATCGTGTCTGTTAAAATAGCATAAAATTCTCTTACCATGACATCCACCGAACATGAAGATTGTATACGGTCCCATGAAACTGAATTTAAATATGTTATGATTTTATCGTAGTCCGCCGTATGAAAGTTATATCTTTGGCTTTGAGCGTTAGGCAATAAAATTGGCGGATCACAACACAAAAATTTTAGAACTAAGGGAGGGTGGTGAGAGTCGGGGTTACTCAGAAGAGAGTCACCACGCACCACACCACTGACCTTCAGCCTGCTGGAGAGAACGAGATCAAGAACACCTTTGTAATTTAAAATATAGTTATATTGAGTGAGATTATTAAGAGCAATAAAATCCAGTAGAGCATTATCTAGTGAGCTTTTGGTTATAAAACTGAGTGGAGAAGACGTATTACATTTATCCCAGATAATGTTACCCAAATTGAAGTCGCCCATAATTAATGTTTTTGCATTTGATTCCAAATCCACACGGTTTGTATTTTCAATGTAACAATCAAGAATGTTTTTTTGTAAAGGTGAGGGAAGATATACACAACACAATAATATGTTTTCAGAGGAATTACCTCTTCCGCCTATCTCTAATTTAACCTATACATCCTCACAGTCGCTTTCCAGATGTGACATCATACGATACCGCAATGAGCACCCCGCCACCAGGACCAGGTTTATTACTATGGAAGCCACTAGTTTCGCGGTTGCACCTGTACACTAGATATCACTCACTAAAAAGTTCGCCATCATATATAGTATTGTGAAGCCATGTTTCGCATAAGAAAATGACGTCGTAATTAGAACTTAATACACTATTATAAAACTCTGTAGTTTTTGTGCGGAGGCCGCGTACGTTTTGGTAGTAAATGTTTAACGTATTAAATTTTAAGCCTTATTAACTGTACGTTTAGCTTGAGAAGATTTAAATTAGCTTATGATAACCGTTCCAATGTTGTTGAGTTTCGCACAAGTATGTATTCTGATGTATCCGTCTTTCGCATGTAAATGCGGCCGCCTTGAACCCATACATGCTTATACTGCAGCTCTCTAGCTCGAGCGCGCGCCGACGCATGGAGATACTTATTTTCAGGCGACAGATTTTCTGTTACGTATATGGCAGTCTTTTTTCTGTTCCGAAGCGGAGATGCCCGGTGTTTAGTCTATCTTGCGGATGATGTTTATTGTACTTTATAGTTGCGGCCAAAAGCGTATCTCGCGAGCGAGGGTTGTTTAACTTAATTAAAATTGAGCGGGGACGTGGACTCTCAGGATTCTTTTTCGCAATACGTGAACAGTAAAATATATCCGCTTCATTTACAGGACAAGATACGGTTTTACCAAGTTGCTTAACAATGGACAATAGGTTTTCAGACTTCCTTTCCAGACCGCATTGGATTTCCAAGTTTGAGGCGCGGGAGATTTGTTCGAATTAGTTGAAGCGACTGGTGATAGAGTTTAATTCATTCCGGAGGCATTCCTTCTCCTTTAAAATCGTCTCAATGTTGCTTTTACATGTAGTAATTTCAGTGTTTAGTTTGTCAAAAGAGTCGCTAATAAAATTTATGGAATCCTTTATAGAACCAACTTCGTTCCTAAAAGCTTTCAATTCCCTGTTTAAGTCACCTTTATTTCCCTAATACATTCCTTAATGAAACCTCGAAGTTCCTCCTGCATAATGATACGCAGCTCCACGCGCGACACACATGAGCCGGAGCATCCGCTTTGCGCGGCTACGGAAGCGACTATGGCCGCTTGTTTGGACGTTCCCTGCTTTCCACGGCGTGATGTCACATTGGCGTCGGCGTGGGCACTACTAGTAGGTGTTGACGCACGGACCGGCGTATTTGAATTATCACTGCGCGGTTTTTTGCTGCGACACTCAGGGCGTATCCAACTCATCTTGGTGTCAGAAGAGAGTCTCTCGAATTCAGTGGGCGAAACACCAACGCACTGGCCATGATAAAAATGTAAACAGGTGCAGAATTCTAAGAAATCGTAATCGTCAATCGTTGAATGACAAGCGGCGCATTGATGCATGGTGAGTGTTGTTTATTATAAACAACTGGGTTTGACGTGGGACGGTCCGCACAGGTAGCACAAGCGGGTGCGAAAGTGGGACAGCAATATGTCGACTGTCTCTTATCGCGGCGGGGGTGCGGCAGGTCGTCCCGCAAATTAACAGCAGCGCGACGGAGCTGTTTTATTATAAATGTTTATTAAAAACGCACTATGCACTCACGAGACAATAGCAAAGATTACTACGTCGTTCACCTGTTTTAGTACACAAAATCGCGCGCACAGATCGGGTATTTCATTAGATAGACCGATAACACGTTCACTAAGAAAGCTTGTTTGGACGGGAAAACATTTTATACATTGCCTGAATTTTTTTGGTAGGCATTCTGTAGAATACCTCGGTTGTCTATAAAATACCAATTTATATAGATTGGCGGTAACATATGTATATATTATTTGAAAACCATCTAATATTATGATTATAAAAAACATTGGCTTTATCCGCGTGTAAATAGTAAATCATATATTATTATATTTAAGGAAAAGATCTGAGAATTTTTTACGTTTACGTTTAAAAAATTTCGCTGAGTGTCGAAGAAATTAAATAATTTTCAATCCCACAGGCAAAGCCAATCTTACACCCCTTTGTCGTCCTTACAAGTAGTAAAGGTTGAAGGTGAAGAAGTGAAAATACAAAGATTCAAAACTACAGAAGGCAATAAATCTTTCACGTCAAATTTATTAATAACTAGCTTTTACCAGCGGCTTGGTCTTGAATTTAGAAACATCAATAATACTTAAATTAACAAAACTGGACCACTTGTGAAGATACCTCGGTATCGGTATATTATTCGTAAGAAAATAATCTATCTTTGAAGGTATAAAAATTTAAGAAACATTTTATACCTTCAAAGATAGGAATCAATAAGGAAATGCATTTACGGCTATGCAGTGCGATCGGTGTATAATTTACTTCAGGACTTGATTTTATTGCTGTTGATGGTGGATATATTCGTTGCTAATTATAAAATTATATCTTTCTTTATATACCACACATTTTTTATTTTGTATTTTAATATTAATAATAACATTTAAAAGTGAAAAAGAATTATTTTACTTATTTAAAATTATCCTTTCATTAACTCAAAATTTACTGTGAAAGAGGTATAGGAATATTGCGATGAATTTTCAGTCCTGTACAAGACGTGAAGCATTAACGTTCCGAGAAGTCTGCAGTTTTTGATCATAACCATTACATCAGATTTGATAGACCACAAATCCTCGCGAAAGAACATCCATTCCTACCAATGATGATACGTGAGGCTATTGAAATTAAAAGAAAATCCTAATTTCTATAGAGAAGGAGCCTGGGAACCTGCTTGGGAATCTGTAATTAATAAAATTAAAACTAAACCCAAGCATACCACAGCAAGACTCCAAGACACTGTTAGTTCATTATGCGTAGATCGGAATATAAACAATAATTAAAATAAGCGGAAAGTACTCCGGGTTAACATTGAGATCGGGACGTCAGTCACCTCAGTCCCCGTGACCATGGGTGCTGAAAAGCACTCGAAACGTCTACACTACTACACTACTGTATAGCTACATACACTTTTCTAATTCTTTATATAGAAGATCTGTACTTTCAAATTACATAGATTTCATCTCTGTACAGTCTGGAGCACAGGTTCATACAATTTTTGGCCATCTCCTTTCTGTCAATCTGAATAGCTTTTCATTTCAATGTTATTCATAAAATAAATTTAAAAAGATAAACGATTGGAGGGTTAAATTTGCCACCGCAATTGATTTAAAACAATTAAAAAAATTATCCAACTAAAAATAGCATACAGTTGCCTATTCCATTTAAGTTTATAACGAAATAATTATTGCACATGGGAAAATATGTATAATTGCGAATATGACCCTTACTTACACCTACTTTGGACCAAAAGAATATTTTTTTATTTTTTCTAAGAGTAATTATAGTAATGAATGTTATTTACTTGGCTAATGCGCTAAGAGATATAACTTTTTTCTATAGATCGTAATGTTATGATTGATATTCCAATACTAAAAAGCTCATTTAATCTATTACCAGTCACAGGGAACCATTTTAAAATGAAAGAAATTTGTTTTTTTTTTGCTGTCTTGTAAAATCGGTGGTTGTGCTGATTCGCAATTTTACCATAAAAGTGACGTATTAGGTTTTACCAACGAAATTGCCATTTATTATGAAATAAGTTAACGTAATTATTTTTCTAAATTTCTATTTCTATTAGTCAAAGTAATCACGTATGCAACGATTAATCCTTGCCAACGCAGTGGCTGGCCTGCTGGACAGGAAGCCACAAATTATTCAAAAGCATTTTCTATTTCTCTTATCCAAATCCTGGAAAAAATAGACTGTAGAACGCCAGCTGGTCAGGAGGCCATAAATTCTTCAAAAGCATTTTCTATTTTACTTATCCAAATTCTGGCTGTAGGAAGCCAGCTGGTCAGGAGGCCACAAAATCTTCAAACGCATTTTCTATTTTTCTTATCCAAATTCTGGAAAAAATAGACTGTAAGAGGCAAGGTTTGGTGAGTATGGCGGATGACGGAGAGCTTTCAACCCCAGCTCTTGTAACTTGGGACCGTCTGTTGTGAAGTAAGAGGCCGACGTGATGAGCTTTTACCTGCGATATTGTTTGCGCTGAACTTAAACAAAATACCTGGAGAAATATATAATAGTGGTCTTTATGAAAGTTGATCAATTACGGTAAATCCAATTTAAAATTAGTTTTCTTTTGTTCTTGTCTAGTGTATCATGCGCGACATGGGATAATAATCACAAATAAAAATCGGAAACGTAGAAAAAGCCTATTCACCTTATCCTTTAAATATTCATAGTTTTGTTGTAAAATTAAAAAAAACGCAAAAGAATGAAGTTAGAAAAAACTAAAAAGGGATTTTGCATTTAAACTAAGTTGGGTGGACCATGGAAGGTCATGCTCCTTCGAAGGCCAATTATTAAAATGTCGTAGTTATTGCCATGTGATGATAAATGCCTTCTACTTACATAAACACCCATCGAATTGAAAATCACAGACGCGGCGGCGAAGCGCTCGCGCTACTATTTTGGCAGTACGGTCCCTCACTTAATTGATTTCGGGAATCGACGACGTTAAAGTAAGGTGGGTGTACCATGGCCACTCTAACAAATTAACAGTTATTTTTCGTTTATTTACAGGATAAATGAAACTAACAAATATTTAAGTAATACTTTGTTTTATTACGTAGCATATAAACCACTTCTTTTTATTGTAGCTTTAATCGCTATTTATTAAACTTTAGTGTGTTTAATGACTGATTTGTTATAATTGCCTTCTAAGGAGCCTTGTTCCTAGCAATGCCATTTGGAAGAGTTCAATGAAACTTAAGTTCAATCAATATTGATTAAATCTGCAATTTAAAAAAAGTGGTTTATATGTTACGTAACAAAACATAGTATTACTTAAATATTTGTTAGTTTCATTTATCCAGTAAATAAACGAAAAATAACTATTTATTTGTTAGAATAGCCTCCCATAGTACACCTTATAAATTATACATAATATTTTAGCACCTTCTTATATAATTCTTATGTAAACCAAAGTAGTTTAGTTCTATTTTTTATATGTATTGTTTATGATTGAATTATTAAAAAACTATTTATTTTACCAGTTTACCATTTCACGAAAAAATCTACGCATGACTTCCAGATAAAGTATAGATTAAGTTTCATCACAATGGATTCAATCATTCGTAAGATCAGCCTGAACAGGCAGACGGACAGACAGACATACAAAACTTTTAAAAATGATTATTTGTATCTTAATAGCATGTCATTACTAAAGACAGACACTAAAATTTTTTTATATGTACAAATTAAATTAGACGATTTTGCTCGTCATTATTGTTGAAGATTTTCTACTGCTTAAAATTTCGATCGTAAACATCTTTCGTTGAAAATTTTGGTGTAAGGAATACGTATTTTTTTCTTAAATTTCTAAGAGTCATTGGTTGTTCAAGTTGCTTGCTTTTTTGACTTTGTTGATTGCGAAATTTTTTATTGCATCCAAACTTAGAGTAACTAAACATAACACAACAGATTAACAGGCTGAAGTGGTACTGAGCTGCCTCTATAGCTTATATAACTGATAACTGATGAGAATGAACAATCACTGACTAGCAGCCTCAAGTGCATCAAGGGGTGAACCACCATGAAGAAGAATGAATGATGAATAAGTAGACTAATAAAAAATGCTGGGATTTGCAGGCTGATGGTAAGCAACTACAGTTCATTTTTTTATAGAATAAAGGTACCAAACGAGCACACAGTCCACCTGATGGTGAGTGAATACTGTGGCCCATTTAATCGCCCATTTTACCTCAACTAAGAATCAAAATGCATTGTCACCCCTGAGGACTAAAATGGAATGCCTCGATTCCAGTAAAACAGGTCTCCGGTTCTTCACACTCACCAGAAGAAACACATCAGCATTAAGCTGCTATTTACGCTGGTATTCTGTGAGAGCGTGGTCCTTCCTCGATCGAGCCGACCCATTGGTGAATATTTATAATATAGCTGCAGCGTGGCTCTGCCGCCTGCAGGTAACTTAAAAAAAAAGAATGCCACGTATACGTTTTCTCCGCTGAGTATTATGATTGGATGCCTCATAGCATGTAATAATACTAATTCTATACCCTTCAGATCGGAAAACAGCAGTGCGAGCACAGTTGTTTTGCGCCAGGAATAGGTAAGTATATGCTACTTACCCAGATAGACTCTCAGGCAGAAACGGAGTCCAAACACTAGTTATTGTAATAGCTCTCTAAACCACTAACACCGGGACACAGCGGTGGAAGCACTTCTATTTGGCGACTGGAACAGGTAATAGGGTGATGCCTAGCCAGACAGACTCCTAGGAAAACGTAGAGTCCTACCACCCGTAACCTCTGTCGCCTCTTACGATACTCGCGGAATGGTATGAAGT